TCCTCACCTATGTGGCAGTTGTACATCCAGATGCGGTGGCCATCGTAGCGGGTCCTGCACTTCATGATGTTGTTGGTGTAGTCAGACTCTGCCACCTCGTAGTTGGGGTTGATGACAACCTGGGGGAGAGTTGGTCGGACTGGCTGCCGAGTCCTGCCTCAGCCACCCACCACCCAGCCAGGGCCCTGCCGAGGCCGGCGCTGCCTTCAGAGCCGGTGGCCTTGGGAGAGGGAGCGGGGCGGTGCTGCTCACGAGGAGCCAGTGCAGGACGGGCCAGAGCAGGCCAGGCAGGCAGCAGGCAGGTCCTGGAGGAGGGAGAGGCCCATGACCTCAGTGTGGTTCACACACAGCCTGCCTAAAGCAGCCTTCGAAAGGGGTCTCCCTCTCCCGCTGCCCTGGGAGGCCTGAGGTGGGGAGAGGCGGAAGTCGGGGCCTGGGGAGGGCACAGAACAGACTGTTGAGGAACAGAAGGGGGCAGGATGTGCTGAGACGGGAGGGGCAAGGACAGGCACCGAGGGAGGTGGGAGAAGGGCCGCCCTGCGCACTGGAGACTGGACGCGGCTGCTGGCGGTGTCACTTGAAGTGTCCCTCCTGCTGTCTGGGCTTTGGTGTTGCTCCCAGTGGTTCTCAACCTTCCTAATGCCGCGACCCTTTAATACAGTTCCTCATGTTGTGGTGACCCCCAACCATAAAATTATTTTCGTTGCTACTTCATAACTGTAATTTTGCTACTGTTATGAATCGTAATGTAAATATCTGATATGCAGGATGTGTTTTCATTGTTCGCGACCCACAGGTTGAGAACCGCTGCTAGGCAGTCCCTGAGCCCTCCCTGCTTGGCCAGCCCACGGGCCTGGGCTGTGTGGAGACTGGACCCCCTTGCACCCCTTCTGTGGATCACCCCAGCTGAAGGGCATAGTCCAAAGGGCAGGGATAAGGAGGGCCGTCATGTAGTGAGGGTTTCTATGAGGGACAGAAAAGGGACAGGAAAGGAAGACGGGAGTGGGGGACCCAGAGGAGAAAGGGAGGGGGAGGGGAGAATAGACCAGAGCTGCACCTGGGCCGTGGGTGAGGCACGGGGGACAAATGACAGGTTTTCCCTTGAGGGCCCTGCTGTGCCCAGCGGCTGAGGGGACAGTGCTGCCCTGGGTCTGTGGGGATGAGGGAGCAGCATCCTGCCAGTTAAGGAACAGTTTCTCGGTTTGGGGCCTAAAGATCCTTCCGCCCAGGAGGGCTTGGGCATGGCCCTTTAGCAGGCTGGCTGGGCCTCTCAGAGGTGCTGACCGCCTGGGGCCCCGAATCTGGCCCTCTTGTCAGACCTGCCCTAGGCCGTGTCCCACTTTGACACAGTCTTTCTTCTCTGCTAAGGCCGGTAAACCGTAAATGTCCCGCTCTGGGAAGGCCTTACTTTTCTTTGATCTCTTTTCTACCCAACAACCTAGCTGTCCCCTGTGGCCTGCCCCCAGCCACGTATGACTCATAGCACGAGGCAAACAAACCCCGCCCACTGAGGCCTGTGCAGCTCCTTGCCCACAGATAGCTGCGCCCCCAGGGAGCCCACCCCACAGTGTAGCCACGAGGGCAGCAGGTACCGCCCGGGCTCATCTCTGGGGCCACCTGGGTCAGCTTGACCCACTTGGGGTGGGGGTTGGGGACTGAAATGTGTGGTCTCCACGATCCCATTGGATTCTCATTCTACAATTCCAAACCTGGAGAGGACCTGTGGGACGGGGCTTTAGTTTATTAGATAAAAGATCTGCTGTGAATCCAGGAACGGTGAGAAGGCAGCTAGAGCAAGGCCTCCAGGAACCTAGTCACCCATGCAGCCACCTCAGCCTTGGCGCACAGCCCCTCTGCCTGGGGCCTGCTGGCCCCCGCCCCCGCCACATGCAGCGTTTCTGATGTCTGCACGGGGATCCACGTGGGAATGGGGAGGGCTACACTACTGAAGCTTCGTGTCTACCCCAAGGGAAATATTCTTCTCCATTAATCAGAGGCATTAACGTGCCCACAGTGCACTAATTTGTGGATTGTATAGTTCAGGGGTGGAGAACGCACAATACAGAGTAGGTGTGAGCTGGGTTTGCCTGGCTGTCAGATGAGTAACAGTGATGCCATCGCTGGTGATGACACCAGGCAGTGCCTGCCATCGGTCTCCGCTGGGCCAGTCATTATACAGAGGGCGCCCGTCAGGACAGAATGCACGATGGTACGCATGCACCCAGCAAAGTGACAGCAAACCTCCAACGCAAGCCGCCCTCCACGGCGTACGTGCACAGACACAGAGATTCCGTTTTTAAAACACAGAGCACTGCCCTTTGGCGGGGCCTCTCCAAGTCTGCGGTTTTGGGCTTGTGGGTGGAAAAGTGCTTGGCTGTCTGATTTCTAGCCTCTGAAATTGCCAGGGAGACTCTTAAAGTCCCTCTGTGGTTACTTCTCTGCAGGTGTTGGTTCATCCCAGGGCTGCCATTGGGTGGGGACTGTGGGCGGGGCCCTGGGCTGGCTGAGTGCTCCCTGGGGAAAGCTTTCAAGGCACAATGACACATTTCTGGTCACCTACTTTGCCACCCATGGGGCAAGCTGGAAAGCAAGATGGGTGGGGAAATGAGAGGGTGTGAGGAAGCCTGTAAGGGCACAAGTGCACCTGCAAACCAGGAGGGGAGACCCGGGGCAGGCTTGTCTCCCCACGGGTCAGGGCCCTGGCTGGAGCATAAAGCCATTTGCAGGAAGGTAAGGGGCCAAGCCTCCTTGATTCCTCCCCAGGGCTGGCCTTCCCCCGAGACGGAGTACGTGGAAGCCCTGGCAAGTGCACAGTCACTGGACAGGTTGTCTCTAGTGCCAGACATGCTCCGTTATAACAGCCTTTTTCTGTGACTGCTTTCAGCCTTGACAGCACAGACCACAGCAGGGTGAGGACGCCAGAGAAGCCCGGGGGAGGTGAGAGTGTAGTTCCAAGGGAGCAAACGGGGCTGGTGGCCTTAGCGTCTGGCTGCAGATGCATTTTGATTTGAAAGCACCAGATGTTAAGTGAATTGAGTGCCAACGTCTCAGGTCTGCAGTCCACCTCCCGCCCCCGCCCTGCCAAGCCTGCCTGCCTCACATACTCAGGTTCCCGGACTGAGCGCACAGGCCTCTGGGCGCAGGACTCCTGCACTTTAGACAGCCTGGCCTCCATGTACCTGTTTTGTTTGGGCACCAACAGAAAGGAGGCTGCCCTCCCCCCCCCGCCCCCCTGCCCGGGAAAAAGACCCTTCCTTCCATCCGCCGAGGCCCAGAACGCCTTCCTACGCCCTCACCTGAAACAGGTAGTCTCCAGGCGGCACGTCGGTGATGTCCACCCACTGGCAGTCGATGTCATGGCGGTACACGTCCCAGCAGCCCATGGTGATGCCCTGCTCGCCAAAGTTGGCACACTCGTAATTCTTCTGGATGTCTGCAGGCAGGTGCCGAGGGAACCCGTCACCAGGCACACGTGGTGCCTCTGCCCTCTGTGCCACCCTCCCCACAGGACCTCAAACAGCCCTGCTGGGTGTGTAACATCCCAGACCCCGCCCTCAGTGTCTCAAACCCCCCAGCCTCAGCTTCAGCAGGGCTCAGCATGCCACCCCATTGTGTGGTGTCTTTCAATAGAATCCCTTACCCAATTTCCTACCCACATCCCAGCCAGGGTCCCCCTCCTCCACGAAGCCTTCCCTGGTCACTATGGCCCACCTTGGCCTTTCTGAGGAACCATTGGCCTGGGAACGAAGCTCATGCTTGTCGGGAAAAGCTGTGACCTTTAATGTTTAGCTTACTGTGGGGTCATCTTGTCTCTCTCTGGACAATCAGCACTTGAATTTGGGCTCAGGTCTGGTTTGTCTGTCTGACCCTTACTGGGCCAGCGGCTCATATGGCACACAGTAGGCGCTCAAAACCCACTTGTGTGGTCTCATGGCACATCAGTGGCAGCCACATTTATTGAGAGGCTGCCACGTCGGACACTACTCGACGCACTGGGTGTACCGAGAAGAATCCGGTGTCTTCCCTTGAAGAGCCCAGGCATGCCGGGAGGGCAGGTGCCCACAGTGCCGGTGGGCGGCCTCTTAGCAGTGTGAGCAGGGTGCTGCCTCTGCCTGAGGGAGCTGAGAGTCTGGGAGTTGCAGACGGGCTCGTTTGAGCTCCAACTTGAAGGGTAAGAGCCTGTGGGGCAGGGGCACTTGGATTTGGGACACAGGGAGAATGGCTGTGGCAGCCAGAGTGGGAGGGGACTATGTCTCTGGTCCAAGGGTTAGAGCCTGACCAGTGCCCATCAGCATAACTCTGGGGATCCTGGCGCCTTTATAGCCAGGCCTTGCCCACACCCCGAGTGTAGCCATAGAAGCCCCCATAGAGAAAGGTCATGTGGGGAGTCAGCAGTGGCCAGGGTCCAGCATCACACCTGGGCTCTGGGCTGGGTGGGCACAGCTGTTAGGGCATGGCGTCCCTCTGCAGCCCCCCCAGGACCCCCACAAAGATACCTCCTTCACATTCCGTGTCCTCCAAGCAGAAGCTGGCCTTGTGGCCCTCTGCCACCTTGGTGCCATTGAGGTTCAGGAGATCGTAGTGGGTGAACACTTCCATGCTGTGGTAGTGCCTGGTATGGAAGACAGGGCCGGGGAGTCAGTTTGGGGAGCAACTGCCGCCTGCAAGCAACTGCCTGGCTGGCGATTTGCTTGTGGGGACACCTTGAGTAGCGTGGTCCAAAGGGGTGGCTGATGGGAGAGGAGGGGTGACGGCATAAGGTGGTACCAGGGTGTTTACGTGGGGTCCAGAGTGAGGCAGCAGCTCCTGGGCCTCAGTTCTCTCATCAGCTAAATGGGAATAATAACGAACGAAATGCATGGGGTGCGGGAATTAGTGAGATGAATGGATGAGCACAGGGCCTAGTGTACAATAAGCTCAATAAACTAAGGTATCTGTTCTGAGTGCCTCTAACACCCCCTTCCCCCTCCAGCACTCCAGTGGCTCTCACAGCCCCTTCCTATTTGGTACCCATCCCACAGACTAGTAAAAGTTACTGTTCGGTGTCTTTTGAAAACGTTTTGAAGTGGGAATATGGTGGAGAGGGAGAGAAGAGGATGGGGAGGGTCCGTGGAGTAGGGGAGAGGCAGACGAGCAGGCCCTAACGTGTCCCAGGGACAGGCCGGCAGGAGCGGGAGCAGGGTGCAGGGTGCAGGGAGCAGGGTGCAGGGTGGTCAGCCACAGCTGGTGGCAGGCCGGCAGGAGCGGGAGCAGGGTGCAGGGTGCAGGGTGGTCAGCCGCAGCTGGAAGTGAGCAGCAGGAAGTCTGTGCTCCCTGCACGGAGCAAATGCACACGAGGGGCCAGGCAGCTGTGGAGGGAGCGAAGCAGAGGAGGGGTTGCTGTGCAGCCGGCTCCCTGTTTACATACAGCGCCCCTTCTCGCTGGGTGGGGATGGGAGGAATTAAGAACAGATGCAGATTCCTGGAAAGTGATGCATTTGGTACAGAGCGCACGAGGGGAACGTGGCTGCCGGGGGCTCTGAGGCACTGGCTGGCCCGGCCGTCCTGAGCTGCAACGTGTGTGTCAGTCTGCAACTGCCGAACACGCTCGCCTCCCTCTCACAGGGGACATCTGGGAACGGGGGAAATGGACAAGGCGCCAAGGCACGGGAGCAGGAGCCCTTGCATTGCCTACGCGTGACCGGAGTTGTCTCCTCGGGAAGAGAGAATGGTAACATGGCCCCGCCTCAGGAGTAGGATAGGATCGGCAGGAGACAGTGCAGAAATGCCTAACCCTCGGCTGTGACAGAGGGGTACACAGTGCCTGTCCACTCTCTCCTTATTGCTAACCTTCCCTTAGTAAGAGGAGGAGTATTTTTATTATCACCACCACCGCTACCATTCCTGCCATTATTCCCAGGCCCACGGTAGCTTCTCCCCGCCCAAGCCGCCGTGGCTGGCCCCAGGCTCCCTCCGCTGGAACTGGCGCAGCAGAGGACCGAGGGAAGAGGGGAATTAGAAGGGTAGCTTTTCAGAGAGGAAATTAGAGGTTCTTTTCCTCTTCCTCCTGTGTTTGCCTTTGCTGAAAATAATGTCATAAGTTCCTACGCTGGGCTTTTCCCAGGTCACTCATGTTTCTGGGTAAACGAAGCCGAGCCAGGGCCACTGGCACATTCACAAGGACACATTCTGTGGCAGCTGAGCGATGACTCTGAAAGTCTCTTTCGGCTCCTTGGAGGAGCAAGATGAGGCTGAGGTCTGACTCATTGCCTAAAACATGTCTGCATCTTTCTGAGAACAGCTTCTGTTACCCTGTTTACCAGCTGGAAGACGGAAGAGAAATAGGGTTATGTTCCGTTGTCTAAACAAAACTCAGACGGAGACCACAGACAAACTGTTGTGAGGCTGACCTCCTCCCGCTCCCCCTGCCTCTGTAAACTTGATTTAAGTCTTCCCCAGCTCTTCAGTTTCCCCCGTGAACCCCGGGGATGAAACAGCTGGTTTGAGCCTCCCAGCTGTAGCTCGCTGCAGTCTGAAGCCCCTCTGCCTTGCCTCTCCAGCATGTGGACACCACCCCTGGGCCACGTCTCCCTCCCAGCTGGCTGGCTGGAGGGCCCAGGGCACCCCACCCCATCACCCATGCATGCCCCACCCCGGAAGGTGGGAAGGTGCATCCTGGTAATGAGGGTTTATACTTCCTCTTCCCAGGCTGAGGTGCCCTAACCTTTGGATGTCTGAGAGGAGAGGTAAAGACAGGAAAACTTCGCTTGGAAAGAAATACCAGAACACTAAGGAGACAGAATAATGTGACCCTTGATGGAGCCATTGTAAGATGGATAAAGGAAGGACAGCCTTCTGCCAAAAGACTCGAGCCCAGTGTTTGAGGAAGGAGACTGCTGCGGGGTCAACCTCTGTGTCATCTTGGGGCTTTCAAAGAACATAGCCCTGTTTCTCATTGCAGGACCAATTCAACTGGGAGCGATGGCTTTCCTCATTTGCGCTAATTCGAACCAGGGTTCTCAACTTTGGATCCAGGGATGGGCTCAGAGTATCTGTAGATCTGCTGAGCCAGGATGTTAAATATTCTAGAAAAAAATAATTTTTTTGAGTGGAGGAAGGGCTAGCTTTCATCAGACTCCCACAGGGACCCCATAAAGGTTTGGGGCCAGGAGTGCTGTAGAAAGGCCTCTTGCAGAGCCTGGAGAGTCCCCAGAGCTTTGGGGGCTGGGTGGGGGCTCCCATGCTCCCCGGATCCTATGGCCACAGGTTCTCAGTTCTAGACCAGCAGGGGAGGTCTGAAGGGACACATGCTCAGCCACATGTTCTTCCCCGCCCAGCCTCTCAAACCATTTACTGGAACATGTGTAAGCAAGGAAATGACAGACCCCAGGAAAAGCAGGGGCGGCGATCGGAGCAGCACTTCCTCGATTCCCCTGGTGCTTTCTCAGAGGAGAGCCAGCATATGTCGCACAGACACTCGGGCCATGTAATGTCTGGGTGGACCGTCATGTGTGGGGCAGAGATGCAATTATCTTCCACTTATAGATGCACAGGCGGCGTCCGCCCGCAGGCCCAGGCCTCCTCCATGTGTTCCCCACGGAAATCAGGCACCAAGGCGGTCATGACTCTCATTTTACCCTTTGCCTTCCACCCTGCACCGACACGCTTCCGTATGAAAAGCACAAGTTCTTTGGCCGATGACAACTTTCAGAACATAGGGACAGTCGTTATAAAGGAAAACTGGCAACCCTACGTTCTGCCCTAGTCCTTTCTTTCGAAATGAGTTGAACAACTCTATCCCCAAACTGATTCGAATGTGACTAGGCCCTCAGTTGTTCTGTGATAAAGCAGACAGGTTTCTGATGAAGGGTCAGCGGAGGGGACAGAAAGAGCACACACGTTGGGGTCAGACAGGCCCGAGTGAGGTTCCCTGCCCAGTAACTTCTTGTGTCACACCAACATGGAGCATCCGTTTCCTTACCCCTGAAAATGAGGGTGCCCCGTGCCTGGCACTTAGAGGGGGTCCCTAACAGTGATCACCACATTATAGGGCAGGAAGGACGCCTGGAGATGAGTTAGACCGGGCTTCTCAGACTGTGGTGTGAACACAAGCGTGTGGTGATCCTGTTAAATTAGATTTGAATGCACCGGGCCCCGGGGTGTAGCAGTGACGGCAGACACGCCAGCCCATGGCCTCGCTGTGAAAAGCAGGGACCACGTGCCAAAGCTCTGCTGTGTAGATGGGATTCTGAGGATAGAGACGGGCACTCACTGGACCCACGCCTGGGCCTGCCTTTCTTCCTTTTCAAAAGTGTGCTCCTTCTGTTCCCTCTACCTGCCCAGCCAGGTCTGAGCAGGAAAACATGAACAAGCAGGGGCAGCGGGCTCTGAATTAGAGTTAGAATCAAGGCAAAGAAAAAAAAAGGCAAATGCAGGAGATGAATGAGGTGGCTCCTGTTGGTTCCAGCTAGAGCTGGCTCCAGGATTTCACTCTGCTCTTGTCCAGGATTTACAGCCCTGGAATCAGACCCACAGACGGGGGCCTGGAAGGGACAGCAGAGGTCCTGGGTGATGTGGCCCAGATGTCCTGACATTGCACAGCTTGTTAGAGGCACAGCGGGGTTGAGAGACCAGGTCTCTGGACTCCTGGGGCTAGAACACTTTTCTCCAAACCCACTGTCTTCCTAGAAATATTTAAAACACATACTGGTATTTAAAATATATTTTTAAGTGAACCTAGAGTCCAATCATTGCAGACCCCCAAGCACCCTGTAGAGGACCAACCTCCTGTGGACACACTTGAACACTGTTGACAGGTCAGTGGAGGGGCATGGGGTACTCAAAACGAAGTCTCTTTCCTAGTGTTAGAGGCATGGGAGACAAGAGAGAATGGGCTCAGGGAATGGGGGGTGGGCCAGGGCAACTGGGAGTGGAGACTGGCAGGCCAGTGTGGCAGACCGACTCCCTCCAACTTAGGATCACTGGCCCCCTGGACTGTGAGGTCTCTCTGTGACCCTGTGATTCTCAGTCCCATCGGGGCCTTGCAGACGGAAGGGAGGCCTCACCTGTGGCAGTCATGCCAGATCCACGCATGGCGGCCGTTCTTGGGCCGGAAGTCGGACTGGCCGTTGTTGTGGATCTGGGAGGAAAAGCGCAGCAGCCGCCGGTGGCCTGTGGTGGGGTTGGTCTGGGCAGCCGAGGCGGAGAGGCAGTTCTCCTCCATGGCGCACTGGAGTATGAACATGGGCCGGTCCTCCAGGTAGGTGCTCTGCTGGACAATCTCCGCATTGAGGACCAGGTCAGGGGCGGCTGCGGAGGGCAGACACTGTGCTCAAGCAAGACCCGAGACCCCCTCACCCCTTCTCAAGTATCTGACTTCTGATTCCTGAACTGAGACAAACTCCCGTGCCTGCCTAGCACCACCTTCTAGAACTGACTCTCGGTCTCCCTCTCTCAAGGTCACCGTCCTTGAGGAACACCAGCCCACATTCCTCTTCCCCCTCTGAGTGTCCTGTTGGAGGCCTCGGCAGGTATCAGTGCAGATGGGCAAAACGTTGGAAATTGTGCAATCTTTAACGGGTCCATTAGGGTTCATTATATTATTTTCTCTGCTTTTGAGTAGCTTGAGATGTCCCATATGAAAAGCAAATAATAATAAGGATGATGACAAACAATAACAATGTTCTCTCTACCAAAAAGAACCCTCTAATACGTGGGTCCGATTCTTTTGGGAGTGATATAGATCTATTTTCCAATGTGTGTAATATTGTATGTAGATTTAGTCTTTTGCCAATATCTACTTTTCTTTCATCTGCTTTTATTTTATGCTACCTTGAGTTTTATTTAGGTTTATGTTATCGAAATGCCTTTTTTGGGGGGGGGAGGGGGAGGTGTATTACAGATATAAATGAATTAATAAGCCATGACAGCGGTGAGACCGCCTCTCTCTGCTTGGATGTGTTCCCCCAGGGGACTGTACGGGTGATGACCTCAGGCTCTCCTCTCAGACAGGATGCAATAGCTTGGGACGTCTGCCCGAAGAAGCCAACGCTGGCATCCAGCGTCCTGCCTTAACAGGCCGAGGAAATGCTGAGTGAGTCTTAAGGGCGTTGGTGAGAGAATTGAATTGACTGAACTCAAGGTTTCATCTTCTCCCTCGTGCTCCGTGATGGTAGATGACAGCGCATCATTTTTTATCAAGCACCTGCATATATTCATTGTCATGTTTAATTTTCAGTTTCTAGAAAAAACAACTGCAGATCATAGTGGTTAACTAACTTTGCCAAGATCAGCAGTAAGTGGCAGGCGGGGTCTGGTCTCAGATCCTGGGCCTCTCCTGCCTCCCTGATTCACCAGGGAGCGGTTTTACAAGGCCAGGGGTGGGGAGAGTGGAGTTTGGGGATCAGGAGATGACACTCCCAAAGGCCATCCTCTGGTCCTCTCTCTCAGAATGGGAGGGAGACTTCACACCCTCGGTCATTCTGAATCCTGGAAGGGTTTCCCCTTCTATATTTTCAGTCTTTCTAGAATGCCCAGGGAGTCATCAGGAAGCAAAATCACCTCCAGGCTGTGCAACAGAAAATGACCTACAGAGGAGCGTGGAAGGTAAGAAAGGAGGTGGTGTGCGCCGAGCACCTAGCATGGTCTAACCTCAGAACCATCCTCCTGCTAAAAGCAAGGAGTTCTCAGCCACATAATCTGCCCAAGGTTGCTTAAAGAGTCTACAGTGGCCCTGAGATTCGAACCCAAGGCTCCCCAGACACCCTGGTTACTCCCTAACCCTAACCCACCCTGCCATCAAGCAAGGTTCTGTGGGTGGGGTTGGGGGAGTCCCTTTTGCCCCCACCTTCTCACTTAACAAGAATTAACCTCTGTTCCTTTTTTGCTCAGCCAGTGGCAGAGGCCCCAGAGCCTTGCAAGGAATAACCACTGAGACTCTGGTCCTTTCCTGGAGCCTGGCAGGGAGGGTGGATCTGACCCCCAGGAACTCACTTTCTGAGCAGGCGACTCCAGCCCCATAATGTGCTCCGCCCTGGGGGCAGGCCACGTCCTCATCCTGGCGACAGTGTGCCAGGGACAGCTCCGTTCCCGAGCACTTCACTCCGCTCATGACCACTTTGTTGGCATTGATGTTTTCCTGCCAATACCAGGTCTCCTGGGGAGTCAACAAAAGAAATGGCCAGTATGTCACCTTGAATGGTCACCTTCTTATATTCTACTAGGGGCCCAGTGCATGAATTCGTGCACCTTGAAAGGAACTGTGGGCTGCGAGGCTGCCGTGGGTGGGCACAGGGGCAGGTCTCAGCCTATCCTCTGCGCCCCCACCTGGCCTCTCCAGCTTCGGCCCCAGGTCCCCTGTCTTCCAGCAGCCCTGCTCCCGCCACCACCACTCCCACATGCTGATGGCACTGGCTCTGCTCTCGCCCGCTGATGGCGCAGAGTGATTGGGCCGGTGCCATCAGCAGGTGCAAGCATCGGCTACTGCCCCAACCGCCCCTCAGGAGCAGGGGGGAGGCGGAGAAGCCCTCAGGGGCAATCGGGGCCGGCAGCCACAGCTCACACCCGCTGACAGCGCTGAGCAATCAGGGCCAGACTTCTGGTCTAATTAGCATATTACACTTTTATTATTATAGATCATCGTTCAGCCTCACAAAAGTCTCAACACTTTATGATCCCATTCCAGGTCTCCTGGGGAGTCAACAAAAGAAATGGCCAGTGTGTCACCTTGAATGGTCACTTTCTCATATTCTTTCATCGTTCAGCCTCACAAAAGTCTCAACGCTTTATGATCCCATCCCAGGTCTCCTGGGGAGTCAACAAAAGAAATGGCCAGTATGTCACCTTGAATGGTCACCTTCTTATATTCTACTAGGGGCCCAGTGCATGAATTCGTGCACCTTGAAAGGAACTGTGGGCTGCGAGGCTGCCGTGGGTGGGCACAGGGGCAGGTCTCAGCCTATCCTCTGCGCCCCCACCTGGCCTCTCCAGCTTCGGCCCCAGGTCCCCTGTCTTCCAGCAGCCCTGCTCCCGCCACCACCACTCCCACATGCTGATGGCACTGGCTCTGCTCTCGCCCGCTGATGGCGCAGAGTGATTGGGCCGGTGCCATCAGCAGGTGCAAGCATCGGCTACTGCCCCAACCGCCCCTCAGGAGCAGGGGGGAGGCGGAGAAGCCCTCAGGGGCAATCGGGGCCGGCAGCCACAGCTCACACCCGCTGACAGCGCTGAGCAATCAGGGCCAGACTTCTGGTCTAATTAGCATATTACACTTTTATTATTATAGATCATCGTTCAGCCTCACAAAAGTCTCAACACTTTATGATCCCATTTGCCAGATGGAGATAACTGAGGCACCAAGAAGCACTTACCCAAGCCATGCAGTTTGTTGTGGCAGAGTGAGTGAGACTCCAGGTCTTCTGACCATGAGCATTGGAGTCTGTCACACCCCCCTCCACCCTGGAGAGCATTGCTAAAGTAGCTTTGGTCAAACAACTGTTCAGTGCTGTGTGTCAGGAATGGCCGGCACCTGCAACTCATGCTGCCACTGACTTATCCTGAGCCCAGGGCAGACATTACTAATCAATCACGGCACTCTCCTCTGAGTCTGACTGCGATCTCAGAATCCTTCTCAACACAATGCCCCAGGAAGACACTACCAATTGATGAGAACGGGCAGGAGAGAAGAAATGTATTCACATATGGCAGTAGCCAGTTTGCTATCCATACATATAGAGAACCTGACTATATATCCCTCATCCTCTGGATAGAAAACTGGGGCCTCGAGAAGGGACAGATACCAGATGCAGGCCCAATGCACAACCCCAGCTGAGGCCCGGATGTCTTAGGAATGGGCTGATAAGGAACAAAAATAGCCAGACAGCCACTATGTGTAATGAGCACTGTTTTCTGCTCTCCTGAGAGAGACAGTGCCCTGGCTTGTCACAGGCGGTATTAGCGGAGACGCTGTGCTGCCCAGGGAGCCGGCTCCCGGAGGGTGTGGGCAGCAGTGCCAGAGGCCACGGGGCAGCCCTGCTCCGGGCTCACTGCCTTCCCGGACCTGGCCGGCAGTCAGGCTCAGCAAGGCTGCCAGGCTTCTTCCAGGTCTCGCCCTTAGAATCCCTCTTCCCTAGCAGGGCCACCTGGGCATGGGAGCTGGGGTCG